TCCAAGAATAAACGCGGACAATAACTGCCGACAAAGGAAGCAAAGGAATTAATAGCGATGAGTACCGGCTTGGATAAAAGTGAATACACGCTAACGGATGTCGTTAATTTTCAGCAAGCGCTTTCCGGATATCAAATGAATAGGGTCAGCGTTCCTATTGTCAGAATCGTTTACAGTGGGCCAAAATAAGATCAGCGGATTCCATCACAACCACAATTTTGACGTGTTGAACTCACTACCCACAACTCACTACCAAGAAACTATTGGTGTTTTCAATGCAACAAGGACTACAACGAGGAAGGTGATCATCGATGTGATTTTTGTGTTTGCGCCCCAACTGCGAGACTGACAAAAAAAACCTTATTGAATGACTGTTTTCTGTTTTCTGTAGTCAAACCAATAATAAAAAAAGTAATTAGTGCTTTATTAAAATACTGACTGTCTCAAATAAGACTCTCTATATAATAATCGCGTAAGCCTTTATCTTTGTTGAGTTTGCCAGCTCGATACGCTGAACTAAACTGCCATGACTATGTATCAACCGATAGCCCTTAAAATGTAGATAAGCCATCACAAATCAGTTTTTGGAGAAAAAGATACGTTTAAAAGAAAACGTTCAAAAACTTTAACATACATAGTCTATGGGGTAAGCTGGGAACCCACCATTGCTAAACAGACCACCCCACCACTACCTCAACAGCTTAATTAAACACGCTTTTCAATTTTTTAACAATTCCGCTGCAGATCGTTGGAACTTTATGTTCCATAACAGATTATTCCGTAGCCGTACTTGCTGTTTGTACATTCCTCATAAAATTTAGTTCTTGAAAAAGAAAATGAAACTGGACAGACATGGAAGGGAAGATTCTGGGACTGGGGGAGGGTTTCCCAGTCTGTTTTCAAGTACCCGACTTTCGCGGTGGTTTTCGCGTATTTACTATTTATACTGTAAAGTGTCTTCAAGGGCGGTTGCTTTTCTTGCTGAACTGCCGGCGAATATTTGTAAAATCCGATTTCTCAAAATTTGCTGCTTTAGAAAAAGCTGTTCAAGAAAGGCAAGTGGGCAACTTGGCATCTATAGGGTTTGCACTTTGCACTGAAGAACAGCAAGCTCTTTGCTCCGCTTGGTACGTGGTGTTGTCCATGTGATACAGGTTAATATGATGTTATTATTACTGCAAATCCACTACACTGGAGCTTCAAGCTAACAATAAGGGGAAATGCTTCATTTTTAAGTAACAAGGGACTTTCGGAAAACGGGAAATCATTTTTTTAAAATTTGTTATATAGCGCTTTGAAAGCGGAGCCGCATGCGACGCTCGGCTGTGGCGCAAGCGAAGCTCGCGGAGCAGCAAGCATGCAGTAAATTTTACGTATTCCAGATTTTACAGCAGAGCGAAAAAGCGGAGAAAGAAACATAACGAAACGCTTATGTCTGTCTTTGTTTAATAATGGTTTAACTGTGTTCTGTGGTTAAGCAAGCAATAGTAAGGGTTACCGATCACTTTGGCCGTTTTCATTCCGGCCATAGTTTTTCGGCCGCCTGTACTTACTTCGGCCGTCATTCAGTTCGGCCGACGATCACTTCGGCCACAGTACATTTCGGCCGATGCTCATTTTCGTTTGATTCACAAGAAAACGTTACTTGCGATATAAATTTATCGGTTACTTAAAACCATTGTAGCAAAAAAGTGATACCAAATGGCTGCGTTCATATCATTTTGCATGCCAGTTCTTGAAGTGTTACAGTGTTACGTATTACCACTATCATGTGTCCCTTTTGATAACATAGAGCCACGAAGCCTACTGGGAAACTACTGAAGGCTTAACCGTAGGCCACCTAGGAAAAAAAAAGAAACGAATTCTTTATATCGTAAATCACTTAAGAATAACCTGAGAATACCCAGGAAAACAAAAAAAATCAAAGAAAACCTAAGAAAACGTAAGAAAACATAACAAATCTAAAAAAACTAAGAAAAGCTAATAATCCTAAGAAACCAAAGATACTTAAGAAATCAAAAGAAACCAAAAAACCTAAAAAACCAAAGAAACATAAAAACCTAAGAAACCTGAGAGACCTAATAAAACTAAGAAACCAAAGGAACCATAATAAACCTAAAAATCCCAGAAAACCTAGAAAACGTAGGAAACTAAGACACCTATGATGGCCGAAACGTCCCGTTGCCGAAATGAATGTTGGCCGAAGTGAACCTGTGCGGCCGAAATGTAACACAGCCGAAGTGATCGGACGCGAATAGGTCCTATAGGTATACCAACCTGCAGTTATGAGTTTTAGTTTTTGCACTGGCTTATGATTTATCCATCGCATTACTTAATCCGCTCAATTCGCGCGGGGTCTGCTAATTACTCTGTTAAAAACTGGGATATAAAAGTCAGCAATGGTGTTCGTAGTCAAACCGGGATTCGAAGTTAGTAAGCTTTTGTCGGGTAGTCTGCAGCTTCAAAAATCGGAGAATAACAATATATAGGGAGGGAGAACAAGTTCTAAAAATAACCTGTACGAATTTTAACTGATCGGTGACTGATTTGGAAATAAAACAATACGCCGGAAGTTAAGAAATATTGTCCGCGTTTAGGGAAAAGTTTTACAATTCACGAAAAGTTTTACCTTATGTCATATCTGCATAATATAACAAGGCAGTCCAATACGAGTTGGGAGAATTAACATCCAAAAAAACAAACAATGGATTAAAAATGCAGTTGAAAGTCTGGTGGAGGACAACGCACTTGAATTTAGAAACGACGAGCGGATCGACTTCAAGGCATACGATCCATTAGCAGACACAGCGAAAGCAGAGTGAAAAAGATGCGTGCGGTGAGTAGCGAACCACCGCATACTACGGGAAGCATCACCAGTTTAACTTAACGAAAGTGAAAAGTTATTTGAAAACGATAATAACGACAGTTCAACTTAATTTAGCGAACGTGCTAAATACGAAAGGTCACCGTATTACAAATAGGCGAACGAACTAGTAACGCTGAAAGGTCACTACATTACAGTAATGAAAAAGGTCACATAAGCTAGAAAAGTCTCAGCTCTGTACGGGAATAGCCTAATTAGGCGTAATCGGATGAGAATGGAAAGGTTATGATGAAACATTACTATGACTGATTTGTTTTGAATTACAGTGGAAAATGGCCGGGAAAGGTCAAGCGGACAATACAGGAACGACATCAGGTGCTAAGGAGTTTACGGGCTACGATCCGAAATTTCCGGACTGTAAGCGGAATAATATCAGGAAGAACGCTGAATACCCATGTTGGGCAAACGCTAACTGGGTCGTGGCACAAGAAGCCATCCGCGGAAATATGGACGTCTTCCGGACACTGATCACTACAACACATTATCCCAGAGTTGGAGCACCTGACAGGATGGTGATGGAAGACCGATACATACGGGCAATGAAGGATGGTGAGCCTGGTTTGGACGAGACAATGGAACCACCACCATGTTATGCAACGGATACGTACCGGAAGAAATTCGAAGAAGATACCGAAAAGTTACGGTTGCAGAAAATTCAAGATGACCTTAAGGCGCAAACAGAAGCGGATCGCAAACGCGCAGAAGAACGAGTAGCGCGCAATCGGAGAGAGAAGTTGGCGAAAGAAGCAGTTCTGACTATACCTGTAGCGACACTCAACGAAGATGAAGCAAGAGTTAGAGTGCAGTCGCTCATTCTTCAAATTGACGCGTAAACGAAGGATCCGACAGCCATCCGGGGAGACTTGTTTCACATTTTCCTAAGAGAAAATATGCGGCTGGAAAAGGAGAACCGCTGACACCGGCAACCAAGTTGCTGATCGATAAACAGACGGAAGAATTAAGAAAATCCCGCCAAGCTGAGCAAAACGTGATGAAAGGGTTCCGAGGTTTCAAACGCGACACGGAATTTACGCGACCACGATTACCACCAAGAAACGAAAGGTCGCGAGAATATTCACACGAAAGGAATTATGACCGTCATAACGAAAGGTCACGGGAATATTCGCGTAAAGGGACGCGTAACTACCGGAAAAAAAGGTTACGAGAACATTCGCGCGATCGCGAATACCGTGCCGGAAGATCATGGGAACGTTTTGGCGATAAAGTGACTAAAAATAGCATTCAACGCAAGCTGAATACGGCGACAATTTTGGCAGCGACCAGAGAGCGCGAAGAAAAACGCCGTGAAGAAGTGCGCAGAAAAAAATAAGGGAAATTACCGGAAATAGCACTTCGAAATTCGATGATCGCCAGAGGCGCCCAGAACTGATTAAGATGGCATATAATATGGACGATATTGATGACCAAAGAGCAGAAATTTGCCGATATCTCGGTGTCGACATCGAATCGGTCGAAGCGGCAAAGATACTTAGGATACTTTACCAACTGTGACAGTTCTTAACTGACTCGGGGTGTGCATGAGAAATGAAAGAGAGGAGATTCGACCGATTATATATAACCCGCGAGTCATCAGTGTTGCACTATCTTCCTATCCGACAATGTAGCTTAACGAGTTTACTGGATTCGAAATCGTTGGAAGTACCGTTGGATAAACCTGATCCAACTGCGATGACGCAGTTCTCCTACAGTAGTATCCCGGGTATACCTGACCAGTTTTTGTTTTATCCGGGGTCCATATTTTGGTACCTATGGGATAATTTACTGCCTTAGGGTATAAATAACGTGTGGATTAGGTATAGATTTTTATAACGTACATGCAATACCGTAGCAACAATATCTATAAGTAAAAGGGTAATCAAACACGATTACCTGGATAATCAAAACCGATTATTTGAATAATCAAAACCGATTATTTGAATAATCAAAACTGATTATTTGGATGATCGAAATCGATTACCTGGATAATCAAAACCGATTATCTTATGAACGTACAGCACCGTAGTAACGATATACTGATACCAACTAGGTATATAAAGCAAAATGCTCTCACATTGTTTGGTCAGGATTTCCTCGACTAGTTTTAAAACAGTTTTAATATTACCTTATGCCAATAACTGTACAAAGGTTCACTTTTGCAAAAAACGAAGTTGTGGTTTTCTACGATGGAACTAGGGAAGAAGCGCAAGCTAGAAAAAGACGATCTAAATAGCCTTCAAGGATCCGGAACTAGTGAAGCAGGTAGTAGTTAACACGTAATATATAAGTGTGACCATTGTTCATTGTTAGAAACTGGAACAAATAGAAAACAGTAAAAAATGTGACCTGCAAAAATGCAAGTTATGTGCTCGCAGATTTTCCGGATAGCTTTCCTGATAATGTGGCTGATCACATACACATTGCGGATTCCGGATCGAAATTTTGAAAAAAATTTTAACTGCACTCGAAATACTCAGTGAAGGTAAGACGAGTATATGTGTAGCCATGTGACTATCGTTAACTGTAATACTAATTTATAAAGGCCATGGATTTGGAATCCCTACCATTTTCAACTGCACCCATAGCCATCACAGTCGTATTACAGCACGTACTGGATCATGTATTAGAAGGAGTGGCGCCAGAGAGTTGGTTCGTGTGCGCATAGACTCCAAATCATTAAATTATCCAATCTGGACACCACCGATCCGGAGTTCCCAATTGACTGTGCGCCGTTGGATGGCTGAAGTAGAACGGGTGCTAAACTCTTACGAAGAATTTGTCATCGACGAGCATTTCGAAGTGTTTGTACAACACACTGATATTCCTAAAGGCAGCTGCGTGCGCGACGTACCTATATTACTGAAAAGAAGGCTTCAAAGAATGCAGTCCGTTATCGTTATCAACAACCCTGATGAAATATGCCTCGCCAGAGCGCTAGCGGTGAGAAAAGCGTATGCAGACGGAGATAAACTGTGTAGGAGAATCAAACGCGGACAGAAACTTCAGACAAAAGAAGCAAAGGCGTTGATAGGAAAGGCTGGGCTGAGTGAAAGAGAATATACAATAACGGATGTCCCTCAGTTTCAACGAGTCTTTTCCGAATATCAAATAATTATTGTCAGCGTGGATCACGCAAACAGCATTGTCTACAGTGGACCAAAGCAGGAAAAACGCATTGCTTTGCTGCATCACGACCACCACTTTGACCTGTTGAATTCGTTGCCTGCGTTTTTTAAAAGGAGCTATTGGTGCTTCACATGCAATAAGGGTTATAACGAAAGAGCGGATCATAGATGTGAGTCTAACTGCAAATCATGCTTGCGAACGAACTGTGAGTCAGACAAGGAAAGCGTTATTGAGTGCCCGGATTGCCATCGCGAGATTTTTGGTTCGGGTTGTTTAGCTGAACACAAGGTTGGATCGAACCCTCAAAAGAAACATCGGAAAAGCATTTGTAACACGGTATTTAAATGTCGAAAATGTTTCCGTGTGGTATCAAACAGAAATCGGAAGAACGGCAATCAGCACCAGTGCGGAGAATTTTGTTGTCAAGTCTGCAAAGTTCATGACTTACCTGCTACTCACAAATGCTTCATGAAACTCCGTAAAGTAACAGAAGAAGAACTGGAGGAACACAAATCTGCTCGGTTTTATATTTCGATTGGAAACCTATGTTGCCGAAAATGACGAACTGGTGGCAAACCTAGCGGTAAGAAGACTTTCTAGTCGGTATAAGTTTTATGAATAAGACTGTTTATTTATCAAGTTGTTCAAGACGACGACGGTCAGCAATGGATTTTTCCAGAAGAAGGATTATCGTTTGGTAGCGATGTAACGGATCAATTATGCACCTTTTTATTTCATGAAAGGCACAGGGATTACTATATCATTGCTCATAATTTCAAGGTAAGATCGGTGTCATTACCAAAATGACAAAAAATTCTACAGAATATTTGACTTTGTAGGGATTTGACGGGCATTTCATACTTCTCTGGTCACTACGGAAAGGGATAAAACCTTGTGTCATTATGAACGGTGGAAAAATCCTGCAGCTGGATGTGAGTGAATTGAACATCCGGTTTCGAGATAGCTGTAACTATAACCCACAAAGTCTGGCAAATTGGCCAGCAGCTTTTAGCATTCCGGATATTGGCAAAGGAACGTTTCCGCATCGTTTCAACCGTAAAGAGAACTGGGACAAAATCCTGCCTTTTGCGCAACCGGATGAATATGGGTTCTCAAGTATGAATAAGAAAGCCAAAGATTCCTTCATGCGTTGGTATGAGATAGAATCCAGGGAAAAAATTACCTTTTTGACTTTCGAAGGGAAATTGAGGATTACTGCCGGGTGGATGTGACAGTTTTGCGAATATGTTGTCAACAGTTTAGTCGCCTCTTCCCAGATATCAGTAATGGTTTATGCCCTTTTGTGTCGGCGATAATGATTGCTGGTGTGTGCAGTCGGTACTTGAAATAGTTCATTCTTAAACCTGAACAAATCGGACTACTTCCTCATCGCATCCATGCAAAAAACCGTAATCAGTCGGAAATTGCGAAGAAATGGCTGGCTTGGATAGAGCGCGAAGAGGAGTGCGTCATTGAGTCTGTGCTTACCGGGGCCAAACATCAGATTGGACCATATTTTGTGGTTGGGTATCGTGCAGACATCAACCATGTGTACGAATTTTACGGTTGTTTTTACCATGGATGCCCTAAGTGCGAAGCTGCCGAAACTATAAACCCTTTACGGAATATAGCAATGTTCGAAATTTATAATCAAACCAAGGAACGCGAGGAGTACATTCGCAATCAAGGATATGGCTTAAAAACGATCTGGGAGCATGAATTCAACGACCAAATCAAGTCCGATCCGGATCTAAGAGCCTTTGTAAATAGGCTTTTTTTTATTGCGCCGCTAAATCCTGGCGATGCTTTTTACGGTGGTCGGACCAATGCCGTAAAGCTGCTCCATGAGATCAGCGGTGACGAAAGGATTAGCTGCTACGACGTCAACAGCGAATACCCGTATGTCAACAAGAACAAACGGTATCCCGTCGGTCATCCAGCAATAATTACCAAAGATTTTCAAGATATCCGCAGTTATTTTCGTGTGGCTCAGTGCCAAGTGCTTCCACCAGGAAACCTGAAGCTGCCTGTCCTACCGTATCGCTCTGGTGGCAAGATGACGTTCCCGCTGTGCCGCACTTGTGTTGACAAGTATCAGAATTCCAAGTGTGAACACACCGATGACGAGCGGGTTTTAACGGGAACTTGGGGCACCCCGGAAATAAACGAAGCTTTGGACCGCGGATACAGCGTTACAGAAATTTATGAAGTGTGGCACTTTGAAGAGTATGAAGACCATCTTTTTGCCGAATACATCAACAAATTTTTAAAAATCAAAACAGAACTAGTGGATGGCCGGCACATGTCATTACGGAAGACCAGAAACAGCAGTACATATTAGATTTTAAAAAACACGAAAACGTGGCCCTCGATTATGACAAGAGAACACCGAATCCCGGATTGCGTGCCCTTTCTAAATTATGTTTAAATAGGGTAACTGGTAATAAATAGGTAATAAAGTAAAAGTAGTATGGGGGGCAGAATAGCATTATTGCTCTGATTGGTCAGACACGCCTCCTTCTCTGATTGGTCAGACACGCCCCCTTCTCTGATTGGTCAGACACGCCCCCTTCTATGATTTGTCAGACACGCCCCCTTCTATGATTTGTCAGACACGCCCCCTTCTCTGATTGGTCAGAACAGAACCGGACCAAGACCGAGACCGAACTGAACCGAACCGTTCACAGCCGGACTTTACCCCTTTCTTTTGTTTATTTTTCCCCACCCTCTTTTATTCATTATTCAGACAGCATACGTATATGCAGGCACGGCGGTGCATTGTTTAACAAGTAAACCAAAATATAAAATCATTATAATGGACCCATTATCGAACAAAGAAAAGGCGACTGAAAGTCCGGTTATTCTTCCAGTGCGTTGTGTGAATTTCCGCCATCAGAGCAAGAAATTCTGTATATGGCAACGTTATTATGCGGCCAAACTGGGAAAAACGGATCATACGGCCGCGTTTTTTATGAATTCTAAGCGCCAGGCGTAAACATCCCGGGCCAGCCAGTCCAATCCTTTTCAAGCCATCACCGTTAAACCCACGTTCCAAACACCCCGCCCACGGTCCACCATAAATCATTTCCATGAATGCATTCAGGTGTGTGGATTGTAGCCGTACGCCTACTAAATGTACTAAAAAACAGTACTCGTATTTTGGACACCAAAACGCTATAATTCTTGGTGTAATTTTATATATTGTATAGCCCCGAAACGTTCCTATGATTTCTACACGGTTGTCAGACATTTTGCAGAGATGTAATGAGTAACTAAACTATGTGTTCGCTTTCAGTGAGCGCGTGCATAGCTATTTGACCGGGGGCAGCTGTCGGTGGTGACGTAACTGGCGATGAGTCATTTAAACTTTTCTCAGAAAACAGTACTCGTACCTTCACCCCACTGCACCGGCACATCACCGGGCCCCACATCGTACAAGTAGGGTAGCCATGTACTGTATGTATTGCACTGCCACTACGTACAAGCTAATTTATATTGTACGAGTACTGTACTCGTATAGACAGAGCGCGCCAACAGCAAGCTTTCTGATTGGTATCAGAAAGAATCTGGCAGCGCCTAGTGATGTGACTTTTCTCAGAAAAAGCGGCTAATACACTGCACCGCACATCACCGTCTACTGCACAACACGACACCTCAAAGGTATGGTAAACTGTACCGAACCACCATGTATAGGTACTGTATGTATTGTACGATCGCTACTCGGGAACAAATATTATTGTACCAGTACTGTAGTTCGCACTCTTATGGACAGAGCAAGCAAACAGGAAGCTGTCTGATTGAAATCAGATAGCATCCGGCAGCGACTGTAAGCATGCTGTCTGTTCGGTCATATTTTTCTGATTATTTTTCTGATTATAATCGTGTTTTACTTTTACCTATGAGAAATCAGTACAAGATACACATACTGCAAATAACACGGTGTGTGTACTGTACGTTCCAAATATTCCAAATATTCCAAATATTGTACTCTTACCGGTTCCACATTAATTATTACCACTAGTGGGTGCGAGTATGAGCTGTGCGCACCCACTAGTGCGAGTATGAGCTAATAACAAATCTAAATTTGTTATTACATAGCGTCGATAGCACGGTATTAACGGGGCAGTGCAGTCCATTGCACTCACAGTCTACTTGTACAGCGTGTAACACGCGCAATGCATGGATAAGTCAACGGTGCCCAACGGAAAATCTAGTCGGGACTAGATTTACCGTTGGGCAATGTTGCCTTAAAGTGGGCATGTGTTGACTGTTGCAACAAACCAATGCACAACGCTTGCGTTATCTTGGAATGACACATAGGAGCATGAGGCACAGTCCGTTGGGCTGCTTTATCATAAGGCAGTCAGAACTGAAAGTACCTACTGTATGTATTATACTGTCACTACTCGCAAACAAATATAAATTGTACGATTACTGTACCTTGTACTCATAATGGCAGAACGCGGCAACAGCGTGCTGTCTGAGATCAGATGGAATCCGGCTGCAAGCATGCATCCTGTCTGTTCTGCCACCAAACTTTGGGTCAGAAATAACTTATTTTTCTGATTAAAAGTACAGATAAGTTGTACTTAATCCAAAGAAAATTTAGTATTAGGTGCGCATACTGCAACCAACACAGTTTATATACCTGCCTTCAAAAAACATCGGAGGCGAGTAAAGTAGTAAAAGTGTTTTGCTTGAATCGGGTATGAATACATAGAGGTCAGGCAGGCAGTGAGCTGGCGATAGGCTGGCTGCGCCCTGCAGTCGTACACACTTGGACTACCTCTACGAATTACATAAGGCCCACTCATATTCATAATTCGACCTACGTAAAAATCATAATTTCATATCGATAACGAGCATGGGTAGCATGAAAAATTAATAAAAAGATGTGCAATCTGTTTTAAAAAATTCTAAGCGGTTGAGGTTGTAGGCCTTACCGTACGCTCGGGCTCTTATTTACAACTTGACGCTTTTGACGCAAACGTGCCGAAAAGTACTGAATTCTCATGCTGCAGATTTTAGGGAGTCGCATCTCTATTAACTATCTACCTTGCTTCTACCTTCACCGCACCGTACCGCACTGGTCATCGCACCGCAATGGACCACACCGGACCAAGCATCCCGACGCAACGCCCACACATAGCACTGCAACGTACAGGTAAGGTAGACAAATCAGCCACGTACTCTATGTATTGTACTACGACTATGCGCAAAAAAATATATCTTGTACGAGTAGAGTGTACTTTGCACTCATATAGTCAGATCGCGCCAACACCAAGCTGTGTTATTGAAATCAGATCAGCAGCAACTGTGAACATGCAGCCTGCCTGTTCAGTCATGAAACTTTGCAGGCAGAAGCAGATTATTTTTCTGAATAAAACTGCAGAAAAGTTTCACTTGTACCTGTGAAAATTAAGAACTTGGTGTACATACTGCAAACAACGCAGGATTTATACTGGCCTGAGCAAACATTGTAGCAGTACGAGATTGGTGGTAACTGTTTGTATGCAGCCTGTCTGTTCAGTCATCAATCTTTGAAATAAAACGACTTATTTTTCTAATTCAAACTGCAGATAGGACAACTTTTACCTAAGCAAATCTATTACTGCAAACAACACATTTTATATACCGGGCGACACAAGCAATGTAGACATACCGTGACGAAGGTTCAAATCTGATGGGAACAGCCGGCCGCCAGTGTCTTGCAGCATATGTTGTTCGCATATCTATGAACAGATATTTGATAATTGATATGATTATAATTTATATTAATGTCCAGATACCATGCTTCAACCACAAAAGAGAGGTATTTGATATTTTCTCCTGTAATATGTGAAATTATACAATCTGATGCCGTTTCCTGTAATCCGCATAGCGCCACTGCACAAGGGCAGCTGTTCAGTCTCATGCTCAAGAACTGAACTGGTACCGGTATAATATTCCAGTGGATCATCGCTTGAACGCAGTGTGGCAATGTGATTATCAACGATTAATTTCGCTTATTATAATTTATTGCATCAGGTAATTTTATCATATATTTGCACATGTACATCATATATCTGGTTAGGGTACTTTAGTACACGGCTGCACGTCCCCCGAGCTGATCTGAGATCCCGAGAGAACAAAATCGCCAATCGTGCCGGCACAAACGTGATACGACATGTTTTATTTATGAATACAAACAGCAATGTAATGTGTACTCGTACAAGGACATCCTCTGTTCTAAACACTTAATTATAACCACTGGTAGGTGCGAGTATGAGTATGAAGTTGGGAGTTTTACGACGGAAATCGTATAATTCTATTTTAAAACACGTACACTTTTTTCTCACAAAATACATTACAAGTTTCAGCTATCAAAATTTTAAAATCTGCGCTCAAAAACATACTGTTGTGGTAAACGATATTGTAGTTTTTCGTTTGCAAATTCTCATAGGTAATACATAGAAAGCATTGATAAACATGAAGTTTGGTTGTCAAAAATTTGCAATTTTTTTTCTTTAAAATACTACATTAAACTGCATTGCCCTTTTGACGAATCGGTGTCGCAGATGGTATTTTTTCGAACGCATTTTTTGCACATTTATCAAATAATTGGTACAAACCTACTATAGTGAATGTGGTTGTATGGACGCTACACTAACGTTACACACTGGTTTCCAATTTAAAAAATGACCCATCGATACAGTCTAGAACTATAAGAGCGAGTGTGATACTGCAAACAGAAAGGGGAAAAAGTTGCAGACAAAGGCAGCAGAAGAAATAGCTCTTCATTACGTACCGTACAGAGTACTTAGTAGTGATCTTACTTACACGCAGTTCAGATGTCCGGAGATAGAAAATTTCAGACTTATTTCATTATTACGGTAACGGTGCACTAAGGTTGCGATGGCGCTCCACATTCAGCAAGGTACATTTAAAAATGTTTTCATCTGCTGTGACCAATCGGGTGTGGCTAGCGCGATCAAGCAAATCACTTACATAAATCGGCTCTGTCATATGGATCCAAAAGCACACGGACTTAAAAATAGTACGGACTTACTATACTCAAGAAGATATAAAAAACTGTTTAACCTAAGAAAACATAAGAAAGCAAGTTACACTTCTGTATGTAAATACATAAGGGCGAGAGAGGAAATACAGACAGGTTGCCTGCTCACAATCGTTGCTGATCTGACTTTTTTCAGAAAGCATGCTGTTGGCTCGCTGTGTCCATACGAGTGTAAGTTATATTACTCGTACCATAATATTTGTTTGCGCGTAGGCTGTTACCGCACTCTATCTATACGGGTGCAAAGTACAGTACTCGTACAACATTGTATATTTTTGCAAGTAGTGGCAGTACATTACATGCAGCACATGACTGTTTGGTAAAGGAATTGGCTCCGGTCCGTTGCTGTGCGAGAGCCGGTGGATGTGCACGGTACGTCTATATTGTTTTTGCTGACCAGTATGTACTCTAGTTTTGAATGCTCATAGGTGCAAGTAAACTTGTCTGTAATGTTAATCAAAAAATGTTTTATCGTACAATATTAGTACAATATTTGCATGCTTGTACTCGTATACGTATAATTATTTATTTGCGCGTAGAGGCAGTAAAATACATACAGTACCTGACGCTTAGGTGCAGTTTACCATACCTTTGCGCTGCAGTGTAGTGTTGACCCGGTGCGGTGTTAGGCCGTTGCTGTGTGGAGGCCGGTGAAATACGGTGCAGGTATAAAGTACAAGTACTGTTTTCTGTAAGTCCTGTCTTAAAAAGTCACTGTGACTCATCGCCATCGCAGCTGGATCATCAAAAGTCTCATGACTGAACAGACTAGATGCACAGTCACTGACTGATGACACCTGAATTCACTCAGATAGCATGCAGTTGGAGCGCTCGGACCACATGTGTGCAAAGTACACTACTCGTACAATATACATTTTTATGAATAGTGGCAGTACAGTACATGAATTATTCATCTACCCTACCTGTACGATGCCGCGCGGTACAATGTGTGTGCTGGATCAGGTGCGGTGCGGTGCATCATGATGTTGCGCCCCGAGGTGGTGCGGTGCACGGTACTGAATTCGGTGTAATACGGTGTAAAAGGACTGATTGTGTGTGCGGTTTTAGAAATTAAGGTGTTCAAAATTCGTAATTTATTTTTTTAAGAAAAAGTTACGTATTTTAAAATGAAACTGTACGGAATCCTCCAGCTCATACTCGCACCCACTAGTGGTAATAATTAATGTGGAACCGGTAAGAGTACAATATTTGGAATATTTGGAATATTTGGAACGTACAGTACACACACCGTGTTATTTGCAGTATGTGTATCTTGTACTGATTTCTCATAGGTAAAAGTAAAACACGATTATAATCAGAAAAATAATCAGAAAAATATGACCGAACAGACAGCATGCTTACAGTCGCTGCCGGATGCTATCTGATTTCAATCAGACAGCTTCCTGTTTGCTTGCTCTGTCCATAAGAGTGCGAACTACAGTACTGGTACAATAATATTTGTTCCCGAGTAGCGATCGTACAATACATACAGTACCTATACATGGTGGTTCGGTACAGTTTACCATACCTTTGAGGTGTCGTGTTGTGCAGTAGACGGTGATGTGCGGTGCAGTGTATTAGCCGCTTTTTTCTGAGAAAAGTCACATCACTAGGCGCTGCCAGATTCTTTCTGATACCAATCAGAAAGCTTGCTGTTGGCGCGCTCTGTCTATACGAGTACAGTACTCGTACAATATAAATTAGCTTGTACGTAGTGGCAGTGCAATACATACAGTACATGGCTACCCTACTTGTACGATGTGGGGCCCGGTGATGTGCCGGTGCAGTGGGGTGAAGGTACGAGTACTGTTTTCTGAGAAAAGTTTAAATGACTCATCGCCAGTTACGTCACCACCGACAGCTGCCCCCGGTCAAATAGCTATGCACGCGCTCACTGAAAGCGAACACATAGTTTAGTTACTCATTACATCTCTGCAAAATGTCTGACAACCGTGTAGAAATCATAGGAACGTTTCGGGGCTATACAATATATAAAATTACACCAAGAATTATAGCGTTTTGGTGTCCAAAATACGAGTACTGTTTTTTAGTACATTTAGTAGGCGTACGGCTACAATCCACACACCTGAATGCATTCATGGAAATGATTTATGGTGGACCGTGGGCGGGGTGTTTGGAACGTGGGTTTAACGGTGATGGCTTGAAAAGGATTGGACTGGCTGGCCCGGGATGTTTACGCCTGGCGCTTAGAATTCATAAAAAACGCGGCCGTATGATCCGTTTTTCCCAGTTTGGCCGCATAATAACGTTGCCATATACAGAATTTCTTGCTCTGATGGCGGAAATTCACACAACGCACTGGAAGAATAACCGGACTTTCAGTCGCCTTTTCTTTGTTCGATAATGGGTCCATTATAATGATTTTATATTTTGGTTTACTTGTTAAACAATGCACCGCCGTGCCTGCATATACGTATGCTGTCTGAATAATGAATAAAAGAGGGTGGGGAAAAATAAACAAAAGAAAGGGGTAAAGTCCGGCTGTGAACGGTTCGGTTCAGTTCGGTCTCGGTCTTGGTCCGGTTCTGTTCTGACCAATCAGAGAAGGGGGCGTGTCTGACCAATCATAGAAGGGGGCGTGTCTGACCAATCAGAGAAGGGGGCGTGTCTGACCAATCAGAGAAGGGGGCGTGTCTGACCAATCAGAGCAATAATGCTATTCTGCCCCCCATACTACTAGTAAAATTCGTTCCAGTACCCAAAAGGTTTTTTATGATTGCAGTTTTTGGGGACGACTTGGAATGCTAGATAATAAACTGAATACAGTTTATGTGACCGAACCGGACAAGTTTTACGACATGTTGTTGTCTGGAAAATGCCACGTGCATTCTTGGGACATGTTTTCCGAAGACGTTGTCCAAATGACGTACAGGAAAGAAGGTGGTTTTGTGGATCAGAATCCAAACACTAATGTCGTCTTGCGGCGTAGGTCCTATTCTTTTAATTTTCTATTATATACCAAAGCTATGTATTATATTAGTATTATTACAGGTTTACAACATGTTGGGCAAGACTGCATTTATACAAATTTATAGACATGGTCAAGGATCGTTTGCTGTACTTTGACACAGGTATTTTACCGCATGTTAATTTTTATGTCTGTTTAATAAAATAGCAATTTTTCAGACTCAATTTTTTTTGTCTCGAAACCCGGACATGTGGACCTTCCAACTGGTTGTTTCCTAGGAGACCTAACGAACGAGCTTAAACCTGGTCAATATATTACACAGTTCATTAGTCTTGAAGCCAAAACCTACTCGTACGTCACCAACGACGGCGAAACAGTGGCAAAAGTCAAAGGATTCACTTTGAATGGACGAACGAGTAAGCAAATTAATTTTGGTACCATGTTGAAAATATTGGAAACGCGTAGCAGCATTGATATTCAATATCCTGATATTCTTAAGCGCGTAAAGAAAGATTTGAAGATATATACTGCCAGCATGCAGAAACGATTCCAAGTGACCTATGACAAACGTCGTATTATTGATGCGGAATACAACACACTTCCGTAGGGATATACGTCGTTTTGAATTTATTAAATTGTTGAAGCGTGAACTCGACACGTTTCACAGCCTTTTGTAAATCAGAAGAGCATTTTAAGCCCAAAAAATTGCATTTGCCTGGTGGAAACAGCACAGCACGACCCACCTTCAGCTTAATTGCAAGCCCGCTAAACAATTCCGGTGTATATTCAAGCTTAATAAATTCGCTAAATTTTTCGATATGCACACGGTTGGGAAACGTGTGGTTAGCTACAATGTTTACAATGCGATATCCCGAAACCGCACAGGGATAGCCCATATTTACCAACATACCAACAACCTTTTTCATCAGTTCGTGGGACTGGTCCTCCGAACGAGCTCCGTTAACTGTAATTTTTCCATTGCGGTAAAGTTGGCAGTGCGCTTTAAAGGGCTCAATAATGCGCACCAAAAGACCGGAAAATCGCTGCGGAATGTATTGAGCCATTGGTAGCGTTTTCTCAATTTTCTTCAGATCCAGGGTACAGTTTGAATCCGCAACGGCAACGACATTGGTGATTCTTGGCATCGCAGTGGTACCACAAAGCAAAACGAACGGCTTTCGGGCACTTTCCGCAGTGTCGAGACAGGTAGCGAGCTGAGCCTGTGTTATGGTAGGCAGCCCAAGGACTCAAGGTTTTTTACCTCCGGTAAATACTGTTCCAACAACCGGCACTTTTTAGGACCCTTGGCAAAAAAACGCACTTGGCTGGGTCGCCCAATTCGTCGGAAGATGTCTTCCAAGGCGCAGGTCACATGATTGTGCCGATAGTCTCCTTTCGTACTCCACAGTAAACCGTGCGATTGGCGCGCATGTCTTTTCAGCTCGGCGGTGTGCTGGTTCGCAAAACGTGGTAGCGTAAACGTGTACAGGGTTTGTTCCGCTTTGTCCGGGCAGTAAAAGGCGAGGTGCTTGATGTATTTAACACCATTGATAACGAACCAGTCGGTATCCAGTATGCAAGGCGTAGCCATTTCTACTACAATAAAGCAGCAAAAACAAGTGAAAAATTATTCAATAAAGCAACAAAACAAACTTACATCTGTTCAAATGATGCGTTTCGTTTTGAGACCTGATCATTACACTCGTACTTGCTGTACTGATCACATTTCTGTACTAGTAGAAGTAATGAAAACCGATTATCTTTTGTGCTCACACATAATCGAAACTAATTATACAGATAATCAAAACTAGTTATACAGGTAATTCAAACCGGTTATGCAGATAATCAAAACAGGTTGTATCGGTAATCGCAACCGATCATACAGATAATCGAAACCGATTATACAGATAATCAAAACTGGTTACACAGGTAATCACAACCAATTATCTTCTGTACGAGTAGAGGCAATCCAAATTGATTACCTACGTACTCGCGAGACGTGGAAGTATGATTACGAAGCAAGCGGCGGTGACCCTATATAAAGTTGGTGCTGTAGCGTAGTCCCACAACCAGTTGTTCTGCCTTTTCTAACTTTGATTTCTCCACCATGGAATTTATGGATCTGTTGACATCCCAACGACCGCCAGCCGCTTGTTTGTTTGGGCTGGATAAGCTAGTGTTGAGCAAGCTCTGGACCTCGATGTGGCTGGTTTTTTGATTAAACATGGAGATCAAATTCGTGCCAATGTGGGGGGAATTATTTCTGCTGATTATTGCTGAAATGCTGTTTTACAGTAAGACTAACAGAAATGGGTCAGTGAATTTTCTTATTTCATTAAACGCTTGCACATTTGTCGGAGAAGAGCTTCGTCCACCATGGTTGTACTAATGTCGAAAAAAGAATTAACATACTGACAAACCATTTTGTCGTTGCTGATTCGGCTATCCGTAAACAAATGCACAATATTAGTATATGATTCACCACTACAACGTCGTAGAATAAAAAACAAACAGTTTTGTCCATACACAGTACTAAATTCAGACTGAAACTGTTGATTTTGTAGAGTTATTTCATTGGTGGCCGCCAGTAGCGCAAAATGTTGAGAATACCTTGCAAATCATTTCGCGTACGAATCAAACGTTTCAATTTTACCGGCCCGTTCCTGGTACAGCGCAGTCCAATGTTCGCTTTCTTGGTCGGCTGGGTCGGTATTCACTACACATGCTCCTGGAAAAGGTGCCAATGTCGCTGGAACTTGATCGCTGGCGTAGACCCCACGAAATACCGCCGTGGTCAGAGGATTTCCATGGAGTGCTGAGGTAATTTCCTGTGTATTCATGTTGTAAAGTCCGCAATCAGCTGTCGATGCTGATTGATTTCAATAATGCTGTCATAGACCAGCATGCACACCATCATAATGGTACTTTTCAATAGTTTCCCAAAAGACACGGAGACACTAAGGTTTCCTTGCTTTATCAGGGTCAGTGGTCCACGGCCGGTATGTCCTGGAGTCAGGTCGAATCCGAAAATGGTTTATCCGTCGTTATATTGGGTCCGATTGAAAGGCAAGCCGCCTTGCAGGCTGGGTCGGTGTCCCAGAGTGTCTAGTAGCCCGTCGTAGCACTCCGGAGACAAACTGCGGTCAAAATCGGCAGTGTATGGTTTTGTCGGATAGCTTTGGCCGTCAACTTCGACGCTGAATTGTGTATCGTTGAAGTGTTGGAAGTTAAAAGGATTTTTTTTTGCGATCCGTGAAAGTCTTCGCTGTCAACAAAGCCAATAAAGACCACCTTTGGAATCTGACCAATTTGCAAATTGCTGACAACAGTGCTCTGGGTTCGTTGGGGAATGTCCGAAACGCGCATCACTACGCGCTTGATATGGTATTTGACAGTCTTTTTCAGGAGTTCTCCGGCTACGGCAGTCAAAAAATCCGGTGATAGAATGTAGCGGCGGATAGACAAGAGAGCGTTCCGGATAAATGGTTTGAATGTCTTGGTGGTGTCCGTATCCCATACGCGTAGGGCAAATTCCGGTCGGCTAACCACTAGGCGAATGTTGACGGGAACACCAGTACACAGCGGTTTGCTCTGATCAAAAGGGTCCAAAAACAGTTTGCCGGAAAGCTGCACGTACTGGCCGGCATTAAATAGTGCTGCTCGATTTTTTTAACCGTTGTTGGCTGTTTCACTGTTAAAAGACCCCGGGCTGTCGTAATAGAATGCGGCGGATGTCAGTTGGCTTTGTTGGGCGTCCAGTGTGTGAGACAGCAGTGATTCCAAGTAGGCTCGGTAGGGATAAAATGTAGCGGCATCCGAGATCAGTCGGTTGGCTACGGTCACATGGCAAGAGGAGAACAGGGAGTGTAAAAAATTGTTGACTGGTGCCACACTATCCGCTGTCGTGATCAGTTCCCATTCGCCGGTGGTTTCGCGGACTTTAATACCCACTTCTAATTCCAGAATCATATCCGCTAAACTCAGCAGTCCGGAGGTGCTTGGTGGGATGAAAAAGTTGATATCGCCGGCGGAACCATTGTCTGTCAAAACCGTTGTGGGATTAAGCTTTTCGTGTTCCGTGCGCCAGCGGTCCGTTAAGGTGGCTGGTAGTGCAAAGAGCTGGTTCTCCAGTTGCATGGCCGGCTCAGAATTTTCCATCATCAGCATGGCCATTTTTTAAAAGAAATCGGGAATATTGGTTGGCGGTATACGTTTCACTCGAACAACTTTGTGTTGAACTCGTCGCTTCTTTCGAACACCTTCTCCTTCCTGGGTAGCGAAACGTTTTTCTATGGCTGTTCCCGCATGTGAGGCTACCTCTTTAATAGCCCCGGTCGCCGCTTCTTGCAGATTTGGTGTAGCCGCTTCAAGAGCAGCTTTGGCATGAGGTGCGGCTTTCCGTAATATTGGTTGAACAAATCCTGATATTTTGGCAAACAGATTTTTCAAAATCTGCGGGAAACCCGATCCGTTTTGAAGAGTGCCACGGTAGCGAATGAGTGCGCTGCCACCCGTCTGACTCAAAAGGACGTTCTCGTATCGCCAGGGATCCGGCACGTACTCCACCAGAGGCATTTTAGTAAAGTCGTTGCGGTCGAAAATGTAGCTTTACCAGAGATTTTCCAGTTTGGAACTTGGCGTCGTCTCCCAGGTCGTTGGCAATCGTCAACTTTATGGTTTCGAAATGTTGTCGTAATACTGGAACATAGTGAGGAATGTCGAATCTCGCCTCGACAATTTGATTCACTTCTCCTCTAATAGGCACGGAACGTAAAAACTGCGCTGCGGTATCTCCAATCAAGCTGTAGTCGGCCACATCACTGTAGACAAACAGGCTTTGATTGCCCAGAAGAGTGTTGACCGGTCGCTCTGAAATGAAAGTGGTCAGCTTTGGATTTGGAGGCTTGGCTAGAAACGACAGGTACTGGATACCGACGTCTTTTCTCCATAGGAAATGGACCAATAAATGCATTGCTGTTACTCTCCAACGGTACATCCGGTTTTAGAACGCTATGTTCAAATCCCAGCATCTTTTGTATATCTATCGACGAAGGAAGAAAAACGACGGAAACCCGATCGTTGCCAATATTCAATCGGACCCGATGACTGGTGGGGGTCAGCAATTGTACAGTAAAGGCTCTGTCGGCAGTCAGCGCGCTCTTGTCAGCGCGCACGGTATCGTCTACCATGTACGATTCAACTCTTGGTACCAGTGAATTAATGGTCTTCAGTAATAATTCCGCATTTTTGTAATTTCCAGGAGATATAGTAATCTCGTCCGTGTGAACCACTTGGTCAGCAGACTCCAGGAACTTTGCTTCGTCTTTCTTTAACTTGAATTCCCGTACAATGTGGACCTCAATCTTCTGCTCAACGAGAAGAGTAAAAAAGGAGTTGAGGTACTGTAGTTCAACCAGGGCCATTTCCCATTTTCCTTTCAGGATAAAGGGATGCTTCAGTTTGGTCGTCCAGTTGGACGAAGTGTTGCTGGGGTCCGTAGCGATATCGCTCGGCAGCGTCACGTAGAACGGTGCTCCTTCATACATGATGCCTTGATCCAGGAACCGTGTTCAGGTCCGTAACCTAACCAACGTACTAGTATCTTTGGACCACGGCGTGTAATGATGCGGTCAATGGTATGTTCCTTCTGCTCCGGGTGCGATACTTTGGAGAGTTCGTGTTCGTAGAATATCCCTTGGATGGGTTGGTTTTGGTAGTCCAGTAGTCGGTAAACCGGTACGGTATGCGAAATGACTTTACTGATGTAAAAAACCTCCTCCTTAAACCGATACGATACCTTTTCCACCTTGGTTTTGTGCACGGCAATGCGAACCGCATCGCCGACCTTGAACCGAGGTCGCCGCGCCTCTTTAGTAGGATGCAACTTGTTGAATACCGCTAGCGAATTGTCTTGTGTGACGTCAACCGGTCGCAGCCCATGGGTACGATGTTTGGAATGGTTATACGAGTACACCAAGTCTTGCAGTTTGTCAATGTATCGCGTCGACACTCGCGCTCGAAACAAACGAAACATCCGTGTTTTGATGGTGCGGATGACGCGTTCCGCCATGGCGCATTTAATGTCGTCATTTTTCGATGTAAAGAAATGAATCTCTTTTTCTTTCAGGAAGGTCTTGACCGTGGCGTTAACAACTTCGGTTCTTTTATCGTACTGCAATTTTTCCGGTTCACCCAGTTCTTCAAAGGCCTGCGACAAGGCATTTTTGGTTTCTTTGGCCGTTTTGGTTTTCATCGGTTGGATGCTTAGCTTTTTGGAGAAGCAATCAATCACAAAGAATAGGTATTTGTATCCATCATTTTCTTTGGAATATCTCAATAAATCAGCCAGATCCGCTTGGTACTGCTGGCGAAGGTTGGTTACTACGATCCGATTGCGCGCAAAACCTCCGGCGATTTTCTTTGGTCACAGTGTAGGCATCGATCTCCTGCAGAATCTCCTGTGCTTTCTGTTTGTTTGCTCTGATCTTGAGACTTCTTCGAAACATTTCTACGCCTCCAAGACCGCTGGAATCGCGTGGATTGAGGTATCGTTTCATCAGTTTCTCCATCGCTTTTGTTGCAGCACGTTGATACGCAGTTGATCTTAAATATTCGGCAAAACCGCAAAACACTGGGTAGTAGACTAGCCATTACGCCAAGGTTATCCACTGTATTCTGGGCGCACCCGTTTTTTTTGGACGGTACGCGAGCGCAGTTTCCTAACACGGCCTTCAATCTCTGCCGCCTTTCTTTTTCTTCCACATAGAGGTGTGCTTAGTGGGAACAGCGGTCGCCGAGGTCGCTTATGCGGATACGTTGGGTTTGTAGTGCCTTCGGGTTGTCGTTTCTGACCCTTTCTTGGTGCGGTCGGTGGAAAAAGCGCCAGGCGGGGAGTTCTTGGTGGCCGCACCTCTGGGCTCCCGTCTGGATGCCGTTTTAATCTTTTTTGGTAACGACGCAGGAAACAAAGGAATGCGCGCTGATTTTGTTTTGCTGATGTCTTCAAAATCGCTGTCGTGATTCCGCTTTTGTCCTTTGGCGGGGATATCGGATGGGAATAAAGGTTCTCGAGGGTGTTTGGTTGGAAGAGCTTCTTCAAAGTCTTCTGGCTTCTGTCGTTTCTGAGGAGCTGGTTGTTCAAAATCCTGTGTCTCAAGTACCATCGCTTGCGGTGGCAATCGGGAATATTGTTGGAGTACTGGGGGCAGTGGATTTCTTTCCGCAGTTATTGGTAGCGGTTATGTGGTTACGTCTGTGGATTTTCATCAGGAATGGATTTTTGTTCCAAAGCAAGGAAGCGTTCCAGGATACTACTTAGCTAACTGGCTTTTTCATACTCGCTTATATCAGTACGTTGGAGTGTTTGAATTACGAAGGCGTCCAAAGATAGAACGCTTTAGGCTTCTGGGATTTGTAGCTGTTGATTTGTAGCTGCTCATGGAGACGTTTTCCCATAAATCGGCGTGGAACGACAAAGTATTCATCCATTTCCGATAAGAGAAGTCAAGAAACCGGCAATGACTGGTAAGATGGCTCCAATAGATCCGCCTTGCTGAATCAATTTTTGTTTTACTTTCAAGGGGTAGCGTCGTAAGGCAATCAGCTTTAATGCTTTCCGATACCGTTTACCTTTACACTTATCTGCTTCTGCAGACGTTAGGTTGACGGTGTTTTTCACAGTACTGACCGCAACTTCTTCCAGTGCATTAGGCTGCGATTTGGTATAGGTAGCTCACAAGGACCTTCCGTTGCTTTGGCTTCAGGTGCTGCAGCGTGATGATGAAGGGAGCTAAGGCCTTTAGCCTTTCCGACATTTTGGTAAACTGTTTGTTGCGTTCCGGTTAAGATAAATCAGCATTCGTACACCCGGTAAAACATGAGATCGTATCCTTAAATAATCGGGTCCTTAAATAATCGGGGCACATTGGGCGTTAGTCCAAAACCAAAGGTTGATAGGGCTCCGATGTTACTTTGTTGTATGCGTCGACCAAATGTTTCAGTCCGGTTCGACGTGCCAGTAATGCGATTTGATTGACATCCCGGACGTTCTTAAATAGTATCAAGTACTGCGAATTGAGTGTGATGTCACGCATGGATTTTCCTCGTTTGTACAGATTTTGCAGAAGCAAAATGACGGAAACGTTCTTATGATGAATTCCACGGGTAAACAGGTCCGAACATCGAGCATCTTTGCACAGGTCGGTAGCCAAATCGTCGATAATAACCAAGGTACGAGCCTTACTGTCAACTGACTGCAAAACTGAAGAGTTCGTCCAGACCGTGCAAGAATTCTACTTGAGAAACCGGTTTCTGAAGATTCTCAAATCCCTTCTGCCACTGGCCGTAACAGTATAATATCCGTGTTGGTTGTTGATCAAAAACGGAGGTACTGTTTCTCAGGAGCGTGAAAACAAAATTTGTTTTACCCGACATCGTTGGCCCACAAATGCACATAACGGTGCGCAAAAGCGCGGATAATCATTCATTATACTGAACATTTTTCAGCAAGAAAATTAATGCGCGTACATAGTTTGCATACCAGAAATGTACCACTTAAATAGACAGTAATCAGGGTGGATTACTTTTAAATAACCTTTAACAAAATGTTGGCATTACTTTTATTATATTAATAACAAAACATAACAAAAAGTAGGAAAAATCTTGAACTACTCGTGGACAATACACTGGGCTAGGCTATTTAAGGGATGCTTGTATGCCTGATTAATACCATCAATTCACAATGGCTAACCTTCAGCACATGTTGTGCTACGCGCGTAACCTTGAGCAAAAATGCGAAAAGGCGATATTAATCAATCTTTACGTTGTGTTTTTCGTAGTTTTTGCTGCGTTTGTTGTCACTGAAGGCATTGGAAAAATTATCCAAACCGACCACTGGAACAACACTATACGAAACCGAACAGCTGAACAGTTTGACGTTTCAACTGTTAGGTAAGTATATTGCACTACTGCAACTGAAAATATAAGAATTACAAATAAAAATAAAAACAAAAAAAATTTTACCCGATTCTTATGTCCTGATTATTCTTGCAGCAAAAATGCGACGGTTGGAATTCTGGGAACTGTATAGGAAGGAGCGCTTATTTCAACCATTTATTACGGTCATGCCAATGGTAGCATAGCAGACTGGAACAGTTCTCCTAGACGTAACTGGTTTTCCAAGATTATTTGTCGGTGCAGCACAAAGCACGGTGTGGATTTTGATTTTGAAATTACAGAAATTTCAGCAGTGAAGTAAAAACTACACTACGAGTGTTTTGTTCCACGGTGATTCATGTATAAAAACTAACCGGTTCTGATAACCTCCACTTGTACAGAGGTAAACCGTTATGATTACCTCAGCTAGTACAATTGTAATCGGTTTTGATTACCTAGGTAATCCGTTTGGATTGCTTAGGTGATCGGTTTGGATTACCCAGGTTTTCCAAACACAACCATCCGATCATAATAGTTGGCTAACGCGTGCGGGTAGTGGGCGGTGGCTGTGCTTCCTCTTCCCTGACAGAATTTTTTTTACAGCAGGGCAGATATATAAAGCTTGGAGAGCCTTTTCTTGGAATGACTGGTAAAATCCCACAACACGGACTTCACGGCCGCAAGGATGAAACCGTTTTTGGTTAAACCTAAACCGTCGCGGCGCATTCGAAACGGAACAGTACAATGAACAGGATTTGCTATTGCCACCGCATCTAATACGATCGCTCACTCAGATGAAAATGCCAACGACAAATCCAGTAACACGTCATGTAACACGTCGCACACCACAAATACGTTGGGATTACCGAACAATCATTTTTCTATCAGAGCGATGGCAGGGACAATTAGACCGAGAGGAAGCCGAGGTCAAGCTTTTCACGACGGCTACAGGTGTTACTATGCAGGCGGACGCGAAGAGTTCCTCGGGATTGTCCGTGCGGTTTCTCTCGTTTTTTGCAAAAGAGAACCTTTGTACAGTTATTGGCATAAGGTAATATTAGGACTGTTTTAAAACTAGTCAAGGAAATCTTGACCAAACAATGTGAGGGCATTTTGCTTTATATACCTAGTTGTTATCTCAGTATATCGTTACTGCGGTGCTGTACGTACATAAGGTGATCGGTTTTGATTATCCAGGTAATCGGTTTCGATCATCCAAATAATCAGTTTTGATTATCCAAATAATCGGTTTTGATTATCCAGGTAATCGTGTTTGATTACCCTTTTACTTATAGATATTGTTGCTACGGTATTGCATGTACGTTATAAAAATCTATACTTAATCCACACGTTGTTTATACCTTAAGACCGTAAATTATCCCCTAGGTCCCAAAATTTGGACCCCCGGATAAAAAAAACTGGTCAGGTATACCCGGGATACTACTTCATACATCGACTACAAGGAACGGCGAGAACATGTGGCACAGTTTGTGCGACGTCACTTGAACCCTGCCTTTAAACTGGATGCAGCAAGAGCAGCGATTGGATTACAGGCAGATCCTACCTCACACGACGCAAGAACGATGGGTGAGAAGGTTTTCGCTGCAAGATTGGCGCATTACCCTACCAGAAACAACTGGTTTCTAACACCATGGCAGACGACATCCCGGCCGTATTTCGCGAAAAAGTTGTAAAGTTGGGAATGCCAATGAAAATGGCTGGGATAGCCCATACAGCGAGAGCGACACTTGACACTTGTAAAACCAGAATGGAGAAAGGAAATTTCAGAAACCGATTCGAGTCACAGCTGCAAGAAGGAATCAATCGAGTTCGAGATACTACAGGCAGCCAATATATTGAACCGGTCGATAACGTCCATTCTTTCGTTTTTTTCGGACACATTTTGACACGGAAGGGTACACTCGGCCAGAGCGCGAACATGCTCCTAATGAACCAAGAAAACAAGGCGTAAGAATTCAAAGAACTCGCGATAATTACGCTGATGTAAAACGTAGATTTGCGGATGACCCCAATAATCGGAGACTACAGTTAGAAGAAAACGATGCGCGCCATGCAGTTGACGCCGTTAAGCGTAATCGACAGGGAAAAGGTCGTGGTCAACGAAATATTGATCCGAAAGAGGTCATGCAAGTACGACTCGACGGAGCCAGTTGACCGGAACTCGGATCAGAACCAACCGACTTCTACGAGAAGACGCCCTCAACGAGATGGCGAGGATGAGTCGAATGAGACAACAGAATAGCGTAGAACGTTAGGATCACACTATATGAAAGGTGCGTCTACGGCATTTCTCGGTACAGCACATTGCATAAGGGCCATATGACATATCATCGAAACCGCGTTCGTGTATTGTTGTTTTCAGCGTACTCGTATATTGCAGGAAAAGTCAAATTGAGGGAGTATGCTACGGCGGTGAAGTCGGTAAACTCTCATTAAAAAGGTTTAAAGTCACAATTAACTAAAAAAGAGAAAGAAATCATGTGGAACAAGTTTTTTGGGGTAAAACTGATTCGGTAGTTAGCCGGCCCCAAGGGAGTTGTCACGGCATTCAAGTTGGCTCTCCTATGAAATCCATTCAGTTTCAAATCTAAACAAGAGAAACTACGGTAATCAGCCGGATCTCTTGTTACGAAAGTGGGCCACAAGCGGCGAAAAAGAGTCAAGAAAACATGTGGAGAAAGTTATATTGGGTAAAATTAATTCGGTAGTCAGCCGGCCCCATCAGAGATGCAACGGTGAGACCCGCCGGCACTCTGGCCGCTCGAGGCGAATTTGACTTAGATGTGCGATAGAATGACGTTTACTAAAGAGGCAAGCGGAAAAGTGCTTGAAAGCCACAAAAAATTGGCTAAGTTCCTCCATAAGATTTAACGGAATTGGACTCTCGCGATGTGCGAGGTCGGGCCAAATGCGGATGCGAGACCTAGGGGATAATTTGCGCGGTGTGGCCATAAGGTATAATTAACAGATGTATGTTACTACTAGATTACCCTGCGCAATTACGCGGGATAAATGAATATCCCGATAGTATAATATAATCGTATTCGTACATTCACCGTTGTTAATGATATCAGCTAGAGAATTTGCCTATCTCTTTGACATATCGATGACCTTAAACCTGAAATGCAAAATTTTTCTCCCAAAAGGGGATAAATTTTCTCGTTGGTTTCCGATCTGTATCTTGATTTCCAGATCACGCACAAATTAATTAAATTTCGTTCATTTGCAGAGCACGGCGACTCTGTAAAAAGCAAAAAGTCGCCGACAAAAGGTCAGGGGGGTACAATTGGAAATTTGAGAATATTTATGGGATCGACCTGCAGACACCGCCAATATGCGTTTTGAAACAAGGCGCGCCAAGGTATAACCATTATATGGCGGTCATCACTAATTGTAATCAAAGACAGAAAAATTTCATTGTGTTTCTGTAGTATACTGTACCTAGTAACGTACGATTCTGTGACTTCGGTTAGGTGTATAGAGTTTCTGCTGTCAGTTACGATCAGAGGAAAATAATAAATCTATAACCTTCAATACATTACAGTTTCCTTTACCCTTTTCGTTCTTTTCTAAAACGTAACTTTAATCAGCAAAGGCCACTACACATACATATTACATTTATGCATGCGCTGATGTTCATAAATGAAAATAATTTAATTTTGATAAATTGGAAACTGTTAAGCGCGAAGTTTCTTGCATGTTCCGCGAGGTCCTCAGCTCGGTATCGCATACGGCTCCGCCTTCTTAAGGACTGAAACCATTATTTGAGTCTTCCCAAATCCTTAGACAGTAAAAAGTTTTTGCTGAACAATAATAGTGTTTTCGCGGAAATAAAAGGTCATCGGTACCGACATGAAAATCTTTAACAAGGTGCAATTCACACGCGTTTAGCAATATGGCTCAATATGCAGGCTAAAAAACGACAATAGCGCAACTATAATCCAAGCGCATATACCACGGGAAGAAATCCTGTTTTTCCGGACGTGAGACAAATGGTTTTAGAATTTCAAATCCACAATCGATGTTTACCTGTACGTTGCCTAAAAGTTGCCGCCGAGAAAATATTATCAAAATGCAAATAAGGTTTCCCATTCGCCACACCGCAACGAAAATGCCAACTAAAGGAAACAAAAAGTGCGGGCCTGCGCTGAAAGTCTGAATCTGAATCTGATTCTGAATGCTAAAAGTCTGAGTCTGAATACTAAAAGTCTGAGTCTGATTACTAAAAGTCTGACTCTGATTTCTGGAACTCTGAATCTGAACACCAAACTCTGAATCTGAATAATAAGACACTAAGTCTGGCGGGCGACTACCCGAGTCACTCCTTAAAATTATACTGCAGTTGTCTTTAGACAATATTTATTAGCTCTGACGATAACAGTTATCTATATGAGTACTATAGACTAGTATTAGGAGGTGGGAACTGCCCGAAAACAAAAACACGGGGGTACGCAGTATTTACACGTTCCAATTATTCATATAAAGTCTTAACAGCAATACAGAGTACGTACAAAATTTTTGAAGGTCACATAGTTGTTCGCCGTTTGCGCAAAGTACCGCAAGAAGAGAATGACGAGGGGCGTTGAAAACAATCGCAGTACTTCCAGATCTATTGTAGAAGGCAGACCGATGGAATAAACCTTGCGCCTTGTAGTTCAGCGTGAAATTGCGCGATATTATGATCGGTTAATCAGGTTCAGTTGATGGATAAATTAATGAATTTTCAGCTTTTTCCGCGCACTCATTTGGTGGTTTAACTTGTGATGGCTACCGTACGTTAACAAAAGCGATAAAGTGCAGTAATTACAAACTTCTGTCAAGCTCAGTATATCTAGATTTGGTATAAATTAATCAGTTCAGACCAGCTTTACTGGATTACTAATTTTATTTTACCAATTGTCAGATCAGACACAGAAGCAGAAAGAAATGGGGCAAATATAGCCTTTATTGTGATAACAATAAAGCAACAACACCCAAAAACCAACAGAAAACCCAATGCGGGAAAAGCTGGAAAAAGTGCCTGCAGTGCGCTAGCTAGGAATCGTGATAATGATTCCGCGTGCTGCGGGTATGCAACAGCTGATGCTGCAAAGCATGGAATCGCCCGTAGGCGCAGGGCTCCACCCCCAAGAGTGCGCTGATTGGTCAGCGTAGACAAAGTATACGCTGAGTAAGCAGCGGAATAGCGCGGCACGAATGGAGTAGCCATGTGCGGGCGGGCGACAGAGCAAAGCCACAAGAGGTGTCTACCGCCTCGAGTGAGCGGTCTCTGACATGCCTCTGGGCGGGAGTGGGAGCTCCTGCGAGCACCTTCCGACTCTGCCCCTGGCCAACCCGGTAGGGTGCCAGGATCCGATACCCGGTAGGGCCGGATGCCACTTTGTCTCTAAACCCGGTAGGGTCGCTTCCTCCAGACCCGCGGTGCAGTGCACCGAACGGCCGAAATCTGGAGTGCACTCTGGTTGCTGGGGGTTCCAGTGGGGTTTGAAGGCTTGGTTGGTCGAACAAGTAAAAAAATAAAGTTTATAAGGCTCGTGGGTTAAACATCGAAATAAAAAAGATCACAATTCCGGTGAGAATTAAAGAAAGTAAGATCATAGTTAAAGATCCCAAAGCCAATTCCTTTGGTTAAATGGCTAGATAAAAACATCAATTTCTTTGGTTAATAAGTCTAGAAAAACCAGGTGTGGTTAAAAAACTAGACAAACAAAGGCTTATTCCGACTAGGTATACCACAGGGCCGCTTTTGTCCACGGGGTCCTAATCAACGGTCCGCTTTATCCGGTAGGATATGTCTGGTCCTGTGAATCCGGGGCGACGGTTCCCAGAGATGTCCACAGGGGTCCAGTGAAGTAAATCCAGCGGTGCGGTGTATGGAAGGCACGGTTGCATGCGCAAGGACAGGTTGTCCCCTTCCTGATTATGGTGGACCGGGCCCGGTTGGGCGGTCCATGCAGGGCCAGAGTGATGTCTCTGGACAGGAGAGGTGCTCCTATGACCAAAATGGTATGCTTGGACCAATTCCGTTTGGATGGCTCATGTGGGTCTCTAACTTGGACCGGTGTTGGCCTTGCATGCCGGTTTGGTCATGCGCCTCGGGCCAAAAATCTTCTAAGTCCAGGAGGGCCACAATGGAAAAATTTTCTAAGTCCCAGGACCAAGGTAGTGTGATGGACCAAACCCGTTGGGGCGGTCCAAACTCGGTCTCTGACACGCTCTGGGCCGGGATACGAGGTTCCATTGTGATTTGGCTCGCCTCCGGCTGTTGTGGGACTGTATGGCCCGGTTTGGCCCTCGGATGTGGACTTAGTCGTTTTTTGATAAGCCACGTCGTTAGACGGGCCAAAAAACTTAGAAAATTTCCAGTGGGCCACGTCATTGGACGGGCCAAAAGACTTAGTCAATTTTTGGTGGGCCACGTCGTTGGACGGGCCAAAAGACTTAGTCGATTTTTCGACGGTCCAAGGTGTATGGCGGGCCAAAAGGACTTAGTCGTTTTTTCGACGGTCCAAGGTGTATGGCGGGCCAAAAGGACTTAGTCGTTTTTTCGACGGTCCAAGGTGTATGGCGGGCCAAAAGGACTTAGTCGCTTTTTCGACGGTCCAAAGTGTATGGCGGGCCAAAAGGACTTAGTCGTTTTTTCGACGGTCCAAAGTTGCAGACTGGTTAAGTCTGGTCCGCCTCGCTGGCCGTGGGCCATGAGTTGGCTACCATGTCCGATGGGTTGCCATGTCAGATAGGCGATTTCCCTGAGACCGTGGCCATAACAAAATTAAGTGGCTTCTGACGAAAACATCAGATTGGCCGGGCCAAACTCCAAAAAAAAAAATTAAGTTGTGGGCGCCGGTAGGCGTTTACCACAAAGGAGTTGGTCTTCTGACTAGGAACATCCTCGTTTGGCCTCGGGGCGGTGCATCTTTTGGATGAGCCTCTGGGCGGTCCATGGTGAGGATGTTGGACGTGGCATGCAAAAGGGTATACCACAACTTCTATGTGGCTCCCAAACTCACTTGTCCCAATGCCTGGTATGGCAACTAGACTCGTGAGCCGCATATGGTCCGTTGGACACACAGCGGGCCTGGTCCAACTTCTATGGGCCAGGACTTGGCCTTGGCTTGTCGCAACTTTTATGCAGGCCAGGCTGATCCACGGCTTGCCGCAACTTCTATGCGGGCCGTCGCCGCCTTGTGGGCGCTGGATCCTTTCCATGCCGGGGAACTTAGCTCGCGCCAAGTTCGGTCCGGTGGACTCCGTCGGATGGTCTGGGATGGCCGAGCCAAATTCATGGTCCCAGCCGCTAAGCCAGAGCCAATCCGGGGAATCCGGTTAAGATCCAGGGATTTAGGTCCGGTGGGGTTGACGATACATGGCCGTAAGCCACGTCTGTTGAGCGAGGGTAACAACCGTTAGATTGCACCCATTATGGTGTTCAAGTCCGATCCAGCCGATGCCGGTCCACTTCTAGGGCCGACATGCAGGAATGGCCGTTAGCCTATTCCTGCCCTCCCTTTCCGGCTTGGTCGCCGTCGCCTGGCCCAGGGTTGAGCGGGTCAACGACGCTTTCCTCCATGTCCGCCAACTCCTGTTCGGTCTGGTTGTCCCGTGGTTGGCTGGAGGCGCTGGTCGGCTGGACTTCTTGGCCCGGGTGCTGGGCCTGAGTCTGGACATGTGCGGACGATCCTGTTGAGGATCGCTGAGTGCGAAACTTCGTTGGAAGTTTCCGTGTTGACGTTCGGTTAACGAACGCTTCCGCACCGTCATCGAAGTCCGTTGGCTGTCGATAGCGGTAATCTTTGGCGCGGCTCCTGTAAACGTTCAGGGCGCTCTGGATTTTGACTCCCGCTTCGATCTCATGGTTGGTTTCCGAGGAGGGCCACTTGGGTCAGTAATCGAGGAATGATTTTCCCCTGCCGGTAGGCAACTTCAAGCTCCCAGTGGCACCGTAGGTGTCCAAGTCTGGCGGCAAAGATGCGTATCATCGTGCCGTTATAGGAATAGGTTTGTTTCTCTGGGTCATCCCGATGGTCGGCCGGTTTGCACGGGATGTCTATGGCGGCTCTGCAAGCTGCGATGATAAAACTGGCGTTTGCGTCCGGTAGGACAAACTGAGCCAGGTATTTGACGACATCAAGTTGGTCGTCCTTAATGTGCAGTTGGCACAAGTCATTCCAGTCCGGTCTGGTGATGGGCTGTCCGAGTAAGTTTACGTCCGTAATGCTCGATAGAGCATTATCACGGACCATGGGGTAGCCCTCACGGTTTTCAGTGTGTTCCTACATGCTAAAGTCACGGGGCCACTCCTTTTTCTGCATTTCCATTTCGAGTCCGGACCGGGTGACGAAGGTTTGCAAGTTCTGGACCATGGCATCCACTTGAGCCCATCTGTCCCTAGGGTATGGGATGGCTCTCATAATGTAATCCGTCACCTCCCGGTGGGGAAGTGGTCGGATATTGATGCCTTGGTCCTCGGCATATTTATAGGGATCAAAGTCCGTGGCACTGACGCTTGCGTCTTGTCGGGCCGGTGGGTCCGATGACGGCGGTGCGGACTCTGTCTCCATTGGGATTTGGATGCTGATGTTATGGGCCACCGAGCTGACATTTCGTTCTGATCGCTTGGTGGTCTGAGCGACAACCAGGCTGGACTCCGCCTCGCTCCGTTTTCCGGGTGACGTGCGCGTTCGGCGCTCCTCGGGCTGGCTACGACTTTGGCGGCCAGTTTGGCCCTGGTTGCGGCTCTGGATCTGGTGACGTAAGTCATCTGGGTTCCGCGGTAGCGGTTCCAGCGGCGCGCGCTGCTCAGTACGCGCCGGTTGATATTGGCCTTTCAAGGCGTCCAGCAATCCACCTTCCATCAGCTGTTTGGCCACCTGGTCAACCATGGCTTTGTTGATATTTTCGAGGATCTGGTTATATTCCATAGGTATAGGCAACTCGTATCCGTGGGATCGAGAGCCTGATGATGGCCGCTGTGGCTGGTGTGCGTAATTACTCGGGGCGGCCGTTGGACCACGCCCTGAGGACTGGTCAGAGCCCGTGTGACGAGCTCGACGTTCCCGGTCACGTTCCTCCTTTTTGTCTCTGGCCGATTGGCTGAGTGGAGGAATCGGAGTTCCGGTACTGCTCCAGCCAGGTTGTCGGGCGCCACTGCGTTGCATATAGAGATCGTAGATCTCTATCTGCTCATGGTCCCTCAGTAGGGGGAACAGATGGCTTCCGTCGCGGCTGGTCATATGGCAGTACGCATCAAAGTTGCCTCTCACCACTTCTAAGTAGAAGCAGTAGGCTCGGTCATTCTCGTCGCGGAAGCCCGGTCGCAGGTGGTATGCGCAGGGGAACAACTCCCGTGAGGAATTGTCCCGGCGGTGAGGATATGTCAAATTATCACCGCTGTTGCGTCTGCAGTCCGAGCATCGCGGTTCATACTTCTGCTGCGGTGTAAGTCCCATTCTCTGTGGTAACAGAAATGAAACTTGCAGAATGGGGTTAAGTCCGCTTATGGCTGGTTCCTATGATAATTACGCCCTATGGTTTACGTCCCTATAATTTTACACGTGATTTGTTAACTAGGCTTTTCTTGCCCGGTGAATTATATCGGGATCACACCCTAGACCCTATGCAAAGTGTATGCCTAGGTCACTGATGGACACGCCGTTTCTTCTTGGACTTGGTTGAGGCCAAGGTGGCGGGTTCGGTGGGACGAGGGCCATATCGGTCCGGTGGGTTATTTTTCATCCGGTACCGTTGCTGCGCCTCTGGCTCATTAACGGTCTGCTCTAGCCAGCCTTCGCGTAGCATCTTCTTAACGATGTATCGCACGTCCTCGCTGAGATAGTACAACCCGTTGGGGCGGCTAGGGGGATATTCATTCCCGTCACTCAGCTGGGGATCGTACGTCGAGATCTGGACGTTGTATCGTCCAAGGAGTTGGTTAGCCATTTCGCCTCTCGTCAGGCCCAAGGGGTGTTGCGTGGTGGTTAATACCGCCAAGATAGCATTTCGCCATTCCCAGTAGCCTTGAGGCGCATTGTCACGTCTTTCCGGTGGGAACGTGTAAAACATCTGCATGTTGGGCAGATGGGTCCGGAGAATGGCTCCTTGTTCGTAGGCCATTTGGATGTTTTTCATCACTTTGGACTTTGAAACTGGTGGGCCATTCCATTTCTGGATGAGTTGGAAGGCCAAGCCTCCTGTAGCAAGGGTTGTACCCGTTTGGGACAACGCCTTCAAGGCCGCCTTGATATACGCCCACGTCTCGTCCGTATTGGAGATCTTCGGCTTCTTCGAAGGATCTCCGCCGGGCCATTTCCTCGCCACCAAGGTTCTCGGTGGCGGCACGTAATCGATGCGCGGTTTGGCCGGGCATGGGTCGGGTAAAGTCCAATGGATCTCACCGTCGTTTGATTCTGGTGAGGTGGAGTCTCGCACTCTGTCCCGGTAGGGCTGTGCACCGCTGCCACTTGGCTCAGCGTCTTCCACGCTGGCCTGACTTTCCCGATCGGCGCTGTCTGCGCCTCTTTGGTCTTGACCGGTGCCTTCTGCGCCGCCCTGGTCCTCCATGTCCTGGTCACCGTTGGGTGGCAGGTTTTCATCACCGGGTGAGATTTCCATATCATGGTCCGGTGGGACGTCCATGGTCAGTTTGCCAGGGCTCTGGTCATCATCGTCATCTGAGTCGGACCTTTGGGACTCCATGGTTTGGTCCTGGTCCGGCTCTTCTTCTTCTTCCAACTCCGAGTCCTCATGGTTAGAGTCCTCAGAGTCCGATACATCTTGCCCCAGTGGCGGGTATCCTTTGTCCCCGCCAGAAGTCCTAGCCTTCGTGGCCGTAGCCTTTTTGGCTGTAGACTTTCGACTCTTTATGGATGTAGCTGATGGGGCTGGTGAGGGAGGTCTGGACTGGCCAGCTGCGTTTGGCAGTGACACAGTGTCCCTGGGCACGGACCGGATTCCGGCCTCGCGCCTCTCTTCTTCAGCTTCTTGCCGTGCTGCCCTTTCTCTCCTAGTGACCGATGGTCGAGGGGGCTTTTCAGTCGGCAAGTTCTTCGGACCGGGCAGTTTGGCCTCTTGGGATATCAAGTAAGCCTGCCTGGCTCTGCCGGTCAGCTTGTCCTTTGGCGGTCCAACCGCTTTCTTTCGGTCCGGGTCCCATTTTGTGTCAACGTCATGTGACACGTACAGAGACCGTTGGGTCTTCTGTGGGATGAATCCCGGAATGGTGAAGCGAATTGGCTCCGCCCGGTGTGCATTGGTCGTTTCCAAAGTTCCTTCCCTGACCAGAGCAATTAGCTCATCAGCCAGGCTGGTGGTGAGTTTGTCCAGGTTCTCCTCTCCATAGTAGTAGAGAGCATTAAGTGTCCTGGCAATGTCGGTCAGGTTGGAACCTCTTGGATTGTGCAGGTAAGCAAAAGTCCTGCATATCTGATGGAAAGGAAGGTCCCTGCTACGGGAAAGTCCTGCTGGCCGATGGGGCACGTGCAATTCCATCAGGCTGGTCCAATCACGATGTGTGCGGGCCAGAAGTCCCATGTCCAGAATGCGGGATACCATCCGCCGCATAAAGGGTGCCGTTAGTACACGGTCCGCCGGCGGTAGGCCTTGATACTCTTCTGTATATTTCAGACGAGATCTGAGGACGCAGACGAGGCATTGGTACATGTCTCGTCCTGTTGCGCGCCTCATGGCCCTGGCGGCTGCCACGGTTAATCGTATATAGTGATCCGCTGGGATCTCTATATGTGTGGCTTCCGGTCCAGGTTGTGGTAGCTCGTCCTCATCATCCCAGGGCGAGGGGAGCATCACTTCTTCTGAGGCTGGTTCTGCCCGGGAGTGTGGTTCATGCTCCTCGTCCCGCCGTGAGCGATTTGGTGTGGGCTCCGCTGGTTTATCTGGACTGTCCGATAGGACTTGGACATCTTCATCGCCTGACAGCCGTTTCTCAAGCTGGGCGATCTTGGCCTGTTTTTTCTTATCTTTGGCCGCTTGTTTCCTTTGGCGGTTCCTTTCGGCCTCTGGATTAGCCGTTGGCCGGGGTGTGGCCGCCTGACTTCCGCTCGGTTGAGGGGAATTTGGTCGAGTGGCTGGTTTGGCCCTCGGAGAAGTTGGACGAGAGGGTGGTTTGGCCCTCTCTGGGTTCTTGGCTTTCCTCGGCTGCTTACTCCGTTGGGAGTTAGCTGAGTGAATCACGCCTATGCCAAGTGCGAAGTTTTCCAGTGTCCCCGTTGTGGGAAATGTTACTGGACGGCCAAAAGGTATATCGTCGATGCTGGCAGGCATGTCCGTCAGTGTTATCGCGGCAGCGGCCGTTGGCCCTGTTCCGGACTGACTTTGGCCTGTCGATTCTTGCGTCGACGAAGTGGCCTTTAATGGCTCCTCCTGTTGGGCCGTTTCTGGCTGTGGCTGTACAGCCACAGGTCCGGACGGAGAAGTGTCCATCGGTTCTGAAACTTGAGGTGCTTGCGTCCTTGGCGGTACCACGATTAGTGGAGCGCTTGACAGCAAGGCTTCAGTCATCATTGGGTCTTGCCCCGGTGGGGGAAAGGCCTTTTGGTTGCGGCGGGTCCGATAATCTTGTACCATTCGGTAAACTAATGGCGCGAGCATCTCGGACAACATGTCGAATTCCTCCATGTTATTCTGCTCTTTCGCCTCCTGTCTCTTTGCGAGCAGGAATCGGTATCGCCGTCGCTCATTGCTGTCTGCATGGGCATATAATTGTCTCTGCTCCGTAGGAGTGAGAGCGCTCATGGGCATCAGAGCCGAGTCGGCTTCCGTTTCTTGTTCCGTGACAGCAGAAGTTGTCTGTACCGTCAGGCTGGCCGATTCTGCGGCTACTGGTGCAGGGGTTCTAACCGTGACCGTTACTGGCTCAAGTGATGAACCTGCAGACACCGTAGGTGCTGCGATTCGTTCCACAGTAATGGTCATGGTTTGCTGCTGAGGAGGTGTGGTGTCCATCCTCTCTTTTGTTGGGGATTTGCCTGGCCGGCTCGGTGTGAACCTGGCAGGCGCCGGTTCGATGGCCGGCATGCTGGGCATTCGCGCCGGAGTTGATGTGGCGCGTCCAGGAGAAGTCCTTTTTGATGGAGATCGGCTACGGCGTGGCGATTCCTTTGTTGAAGGTGGCCGGACCTGACTGGTCTCATATAGCGCCCTTTGGACATTTTCGTCCAAGTCTGATTCGTTCTCCGACTCTTCACTGGACATGACGCCCCAAAAGGCCGCTGGCATCTGAGGACGTTCGTCCTCACTTTCTGCCTCTTCCGGTGGGAGTTGGTCTTCCACTGGCTGGCCTGGTTTTGGGCGTGGTTCAACGGTCCATGCTCTTGGGTCAATGTGTGGACCTCGTATGTAGATGGCATGCTCAATGATTTCGCTAGGCAGCTTGCGTTGGCGAAGGGCCTGGCTTTTGCTCCGCATGGCCATCAGCTTTCTGATGAGGATTGTTCGTTCCTGGACCAACAACTGACAGCCTCGGTTGATGCGGTCAATCTCGTGGTCCGTTAATGCCGGGTCGCCGGCGCGGAGTCGCTGGCGCATGTCCTCTTCAGTCAAATTTAAGCGAAGATCAACTTCTATGATCTCGCTGACAGCCCGGTTATGCGGGTCATCCCATGACTCTGTTTGAGCCAATCGGATGCGATGCCTCGTTGGAGGTTCGTCCCGCAATGGCTGAGTTGTTCCTGAAGGAATCTTTGGTGCTTCCGGTGGTGAAAGCACATGTTCTTGTCCAGGGAAGTTCTTTGGCGGCGACTTCTTCTTCTTGGTCGTCAGACCACGAAGTGTAAGAGTCGGTGGTTCCGCCTTCTTCGGTTTGAGTATGGACGGGCCGGGCCTGGTAGGGCCAGGAACGTCTAAGTCCGCTGGCGGGCCACTCCACGCTGGTAGAGTGGGCCTGGTTGGACGAGTAAGTTCCAGGTTCTCTCTTGGTCCTCTCCAAGGTGGGAGTGACCGTTGTGAAGGAGGCTCTTCTGCTTCTGGAGGAGTCCTCTTCTTCTTCTTGAACCTGGGCGACTGTGGACCGCTCGTTGTGGCAGGAGTGGCTGGTTCTGGCCTTCCTCCTGTCGATTTCCTGTCCGTTGATCGGACAATGAGCGTGCCACTTGATGTGTCGCCTTCGATTGGCTTCAGTGTGGGCTGTGATGACGCCGTTGGCGCATCAACAGCCATTGGACTTGTCGGTGCACCAGCCAGTTGGACTGGTGTCGACTCTGGTTCAGTCGGCTTTTCCGAAGAAAGCTCGAGGGTATTGTCAGGCAGGCTCACGTCCATTTCGACGTCCTGCGGTGTGGCTTCTTTGCTGCTGTCCGCTGTGGCGGGTATAGCAGCGTCCACTGGTTGGCTTGATGTTGGGCCAGGCACCGTTAGGGCCTGGGCCAACTCAGTTGGAATTGGCTGTCCAACTGATGGTGGGGCGACCGGCTCGTATGTCAGGGCCAAAGGTGCTGGCGCCGGCACTGATGATGGTCGCCATTCGTTTACTGGATCGAAGTCACTGGGGCGTGCCGTCGTTGACGGGCCAGGTCGTTGGACCTTCCAGTAATCCTCGATAAATTCACGGATCCATCTCGTGGTGTGGTCGACAACAACTAACGAATCGCCGGTAGGCATCGTGTTGTTCGGTGTAAGTTCCCTGAGCAAATCTACCCGTTGGGATAAGCTTTGCTGCCGTTGGGTCAGCCTGACCGTTTCTGGGTCACGCGGATTAAGTTCTCTTATTCTGTCGTACAGACGGCGATAAACATCTTCGGCATCCCGGATCAGGTGCCTTTGCCTCACTATTTGAGGTGCCGTCATAATGACAGGACCGGTGTCAGCATCGCGCAACCGTTGGTCCGCTGCTGCCTGGTCTTCTTCCCATTGTTGGCGTATAGTACGCTGGGGCGGTTGATTGGTTTGAGGGGCCGGTTGAGTGGTTCGAGGGGCCGGTCGATTGGCGTTGTCCGGCTGGTTTAACACGGGAAAGTCATCCGTGTAAGCCGGTCTGAATGGCCTGATGACGGCCCTCCCAATGAGTGCCAACCGTTCCTCGATTTCTGGTGGCGGCGCCAGCGAAGTTGGTCTAGGATGGACCTGTCGTTCTGGCGCGACCAAATGGTCAGGTGGGGCTGTCAGCCCTGGTACTGGAGTTGGATCCGGCATGTCGAACCATTCGATGTCGCTGTCGGTTTCTGTGCCCGACGGGCTGGCTGGTCGACTAAGTGCCGGTCCGGCCGCAAATCGTTCGGCCGAGATCCTCATAATTCTCGTGACGCGCGTCCTCAATTCTTCCGCCGGTTGGCGTGTTGAGGATTGCGTTGGCGTCAGGAGTCCAGTTTGTCCGACGCGTGTTGGCTGCCCCGGTCGGGGTTTAGGCAACACGCGCCTAAGTGCTTCGTCTATCAGGCCAAGCTGGTACTGCCGGTTACGGAAGTCGCGTAATGCTGGCGCATCATTGGCCGTGTTTAATGGCTTATCCATAAACCGCAGCATGGCCCGTCGGATCCTGGTTATGTATTCCAGGACGCGTTGGAATTCCAAGTCCAACGCGACTTTTCTCCGTATGGTAGCGACATCGGTGCCTTTTAGGTCGCTGATGGCTTTGCGGATTGCCTCCTCTAGGAGTTCCGCCGCGTGAAGTTCGCGTTCCAGAGGCGGTATGTCTGGATAAGCCCTCAGGTCGTACGGAGAAGACGCTGGTTCTCGCGGTTCCAGTCCAGTGGCCGTTAACATTGCCTCGTCGGTAGACGTAGACTGGGCCACTGGTGGTGCAGAAGGTTCCCCTGTCGTAGTGGTAACTACGACTGTTGGGTTCAATGGGGGCGGTGGGGCTATTGGTGTTGGTGGCGGACGCGTTGGCGCTGCGGATCCTTCGGTCCTCAGCCGTATGTCCGTCCGGTGCTGTACCAGCTGGTCCCTCAGCCTGCGAGATGCCGCCAGCAATGCCTGACCGGTTTGGTCATGCAGAGGAAATATCTCATGCTGGGCCTGGCGGGTCGCAATTTCCTCGCTAAGTTCATGTGCGAGTCGCCGGAATTCATCTTGGTCGAGAATGATGCGCCGGGCCATCTCACGGTAGTGAGGGCTGCGCAGGTCCAATTCTCGAAGCATGGCCTCCAATTCTTGGATGGCGTTCTCTACTTCCTTCAGGTTGTCCTGAAGTTGGTAGAGTGGAATCCGGCCGTCGGCCAAAAGTTCTGTAGGGGACTCAGTCCTCATTGGTGGAGTGGTTGGGTCCACCTGGACGTCCTCTTCATCTTCATCATCGTCTGGTATTGGCGATGATATGGGTTCGACCATGTCAGATATGACACAGGTTAATGGGACAGCCGACACTGGATTCGGTGTTGGCTGTGCTGCTGGTTCCAATTCGGCTAGGCCAAGTTGTGCCGCCAATTCTGGTGGAACCTCTTCTGGCCGGTTGTAAACCGTTAATCGTCCGTCCACGAATACCCGTAATGGGTAATCACGTAACCCGTCGGGCCGTGATGTGCTTGGCTGGGGTTCCGGTGGCGCTGGAGTGTAGTACGCCTCCGGTCCCACTCGTGGAGGTTCTATGGACGAATCAGACAGCGCCTGGCCCGTAGGGTCAGGTTGTGCCGCTGAAGGTGGGCTATACGGCGGTTGGCCGTATGCTCCATATCCGCCATAAGGCGGTGGATATCCATACGGTCCTGGCGGATACATCCACGGTGGTGGGTATCGCCATTGGTTTGGATCTGGCTGCGGCTGGTTTGAAGGTCCAGGCGCAGGATACGGAGGATATCCATAATGTGGATTGTAGTATGGCGGCGGTGTAAACTGTGGCCGCGGTCCAGTATGGACCGGCGTAGTCGTGACCGTTGGCCCGACTGCCGCAGTTGTAAAAACCGGCTGGTTAGCCGAGGTGGTCGGTAGGCCACCGTAGAGGATCGGTTGAGGTGGCCGGCCGTGGGGATAACGACGGACCGTTTGACCCGACGTAGAGCTTGGCTGGCTGCCAGCTACTGCTGCGTTCACCAAGAGTCCAGTGACGTCAGAGAATGTCCCTGGCGGCCAGAGTTGTGGCGGAATGGCTCTAGGCGGCAGAGGCTGGACCCGCGGTAGCGGTGTGTCAGCCCGAGGATTTGGGCCGACTGACATAGTCGCCAGCTGCTCAGCAGTTAAGTTAGCTCTGATATTGGGTACCTGGACACTCGGAGGCCGGTTAGACGACCGAGTGGAGGATCCGCCCGACCGGGATTCCGGTCGTGAATATGGGTGTGTGCGATTGCTTCGGTCGGAGTCATCAGAGCGATCGGTGCGTCGGCGTCCTTCCATTGTTGAATGGGGCGCTGTCACGAGACGAATCACGCGGTGTTAGACTCCTACCTACTTTGTTAGTTTAACGTACGGCTAGCTACTTCTAAGCTACCATGACGGATATCCATTATTGGATAAGATTAAGCTATTTTTAAGCTACTGGTCTTAGGTTAGATTAGTCAGTTAATTTAAGGTTAGTTTCGGTAGCAGCTCAGTTAATTGAGCTTGGGTCACCGTAAGCTGAATTAGTTAGACTAATTCTAAGTCTACTATGTCAGATATTATTTTAAGTCATTCTGTCCAGCCTTATTAACCGTCTTGTCCAGTACATCCGGTGGGACTGTACTGGACTTGTCCGATACGTTCGGTAGAACCGTATTGGACTTCTGCTTTTTGCCCTTTGAGACTTTCTCAGATTTTTTCCGTCCTGTGGTTATACGTGCGAGCAAGTCTTTATCCGCCTCATCATCAGCAACTACGTCCTCTTCTAGGACTTGCTGGGCCGTAAGGGTTGCCTTAGGCTTTTTCGGCGTCTTTGGTCTTTTGGGCTTCTCCTTAGGTGCCGGAGCTACTTTTGGCCCTTCGGTCACCGCTGGCTTGTCCGTGGCGGATGTCCCTTTTTCAGGTTCCGCTGGGGCCAAAGTTGGATCAATGACGGTTAATGGCTGGTTTTGAAGCTTTTGAAGCGCCGGTGTCTCGAAATCCGGTTTGGCCTTTCGAGGTCGGCCTGGGCCACGTTTTATTGGTGGCTCTGGGTCTGATGTCTTCGAGTCAGGTGGGCCATAGCCTGGAATTTGCAGAGTCTTTTGCTGCTCCGCCACAAGTTTCTTGGACGGGCCCTTTCCGGGCTTCTGCTTTCCCATCAATTTCTCCAGTTTACTCTGGGCATGTGGGAGCTCTGCATTATGTTCCGACTCTTTTTGGTCTTTGCACCTTCTCGACTCTGTACCTTCTGGTTCGGCGTCGCCGCCCTTCTTTTTAGTTGAGCGAGTGATTCTGCGAGTTGGGCCGTCCAGATTAAGGTATGGCTTTAGGCGGTCGACACTTACGGTGTGTTCTACACCGGTGTCCCGCTCTCGGATCCAGTAAGTGTTCGGCTTGGGTATGCCGAGGACGATGTAGACGCCTTCGAACTTGTTTGGGTTTGTCGGGTCGTCTATCATATTCTTCAGGGTGACCAAGTCCCGCTTTTTGAACTCGGCCTGCGACTTCTTTTTGTTGTAGATGGCCGCGTCCCTGAGGAATCCTTCTTCGATCCGCGTTTTCGCAATTTCATGCGCCCGGTTCAGGCGCTGCTGCATCCTCTTGACGTAACGTTCGTTAGTCGTGAATGTTTCTGGGACGTTGGTCCCAGCGAGGACGTCTTGCGGTATGGTCATTTCTCGTCCATACAGCATGTGGTATGGCGAGAATCCGGTGGTTGCGTGAACGGCACGGTTCATGCCGGAAATCACGTAAGGTAGGGCCCGGTGCCAACGATGTTCGTCGCCGGCGCCGCCAAAGTTTCGAATTCCGTCCCAGATCGTTTGCATCTGGCGTTCGACTTGGCCTTGGCCCTCTGGGTGGTAAGCGGATCCGAAGGTCTGCTCAATGCCGAAGATTTTCGCCACTTTGGCGAAGGATTTTGCCGTAAAATGCGTGCCCCGGTCGGAGTGCATTGTATGTGGCATGCCGTACTTTAGTACGACTTCTTCGACAAAGAACTTCTCGAATTCTTTGGCCGAATTTGTCTTGGTCGGCCGGGCTATGGTGAATTTCGTAATTTGTTCGACCACCACAGCAATGTACCGGTACTTCTTAGTTTGAGTCACCGGTAAAGGTCCTTTGAAGTCGGCGAAGACGCGGTACCAAGGTGCAACAGCTTCGGTCGGCTGCAGCTTACCGTAGGTAGCTCGCCGCGGTACTTTGCCGAAAATACACGTCTGACATCGGTCGATGTAGTCGTGTATGTCGCAGCTCATACGGTCCCAGTAGTACCTGAGTTTGGCTGCTTCAATGGTCTTGCGGTATCCAAAATGGTTCCCTGTTTTTCCATCATGGAGGGACTGGATAATATTTTTCCGCATAAACAGAGGGACTACGAATCTCCTTTCAAGTTTCGCATTAATTTCGGTGAGTCGGTAGAGCACACCTTTGTCCATCTGGTAATGTTCAGGTAATTTGGACCTCTTGTCCATTTCGCTTTGATGTTCCAACTCGTGGATTTTCTTGGCCAGAGTTGGATCACGGTGCTGCATCCGTCGCAGTTCTTGCGCGGTGCGGTCCGTGACTTTTCCTGGACACGGTGGGACGTCGGGCTCTGGCTCTCCCGGTGTGGGTGCCGGTACATTAATGACCCGTATGTCCGCCGTGCTGAACTGGTCCCATTCTGTGATTGCACTGCAATCGGGAAGGAGAGGCTTGTCCCATTCAGTTGTGGGATCCTCATCCGTGACTTGCAGCCTGCGCACCTTTATGATGCGTGCTGGGATCTCGTCCTTATAATCCTCGAAGTTTGGGACTTGGTCCAACTCTTCATGTGGACCTTTGTCATCGTCCCGTTCGAGCGGCCATCTGGACAATGCGTCAGCGTTGTCGCAGAATGTGCCTGGCTTGTACTCGATGGTGATGTCCCGTCCCTGTAAGGCGAGGGCCCATCGAGTAAGACGAGGATTGATGCCGGGCCGGTTAGACTCGCATCTGAGCAGATTGGTTAGGGCTCTATGGTCCGTCCTAACGGTAAATGGTCCGTGGTCGATATAGTGCTTAAACTTTTGGACGGCCCATACTACGGCTAAGCATTCCCATTCGGTCACGCCGTAGTTTTTCTCAGCGCCATGTAGGACACGGCTTGCGTAGGCGATTGGCCTTGAGTCCTGGCTGAGTATGGCTCCGATGCCAGCACCACTTGCATCACATTCGATGGTAGTCTGTTTGGTCGCATCGAATTTGGCCAATATTGGGGCTTCCGTTAGGGCCTTTTTGATTTCGTTGAACTCGGCGGTGTGGGCGTCAGTCAAGTCGTTCTTGACCGAACTTTCCTTCCGCAGGAGTTCATACATTTTGGAAGTTTTCTGGGCGTAGCCCTGGATGAACTTCCGGTAATAGTTGGCGAGTCCAAGGAACGAGCGAAGTTGACGCTCGGTCTTGGGCGGTAGTTTCTCGGCGATAGCCGCTACCTTCTCGGGATCGGTATGGACACCATCCTTGCTGAGGATGTGTCCAAGGAATTGGAGTTTTTCCATTCCGAATTCGCACTTCGACGGTTTTATCGTGAATCCGGCGTCTCTGAGGCAAAGGAGCGTGTTTCTGAACGCTTTCCTGAATTCCTCGAATGTTTTGCCGAAAAATATCACGTCGTCGATGTATGCGAAGACGCCGCCTTGTTTGCGGGCCGGCGCCATTATCTTGTCCATTGTCATTTGGAATGTGGCTGGCCCATTGCAGACGCCAAACGGCATTCGTTTGAACCGGAACATCCCTTCTGGAGTCACGAAGGTAGTGTAGTCCATGGACGCTGGGTCCATAGGGATTTGCCAGAATCCGGACTGACAATCTACCTTGCCGTAATAGGCGTTTCCTGCACATTGACCCAGAAGTTCGTCTGGATTGAGCAATGGATAATTGTTCTTTTTGGTCACCGAGTTCAGCTTTATGTAGTTTATGCAGAACCTGGTGCCCATGGTCCCGTCGCCGTTTTTCTTTGAAGCGAGGACCACTGGGAAACTCCACGCTGCCATGGACGGTTCAATGACGCCTTGGTCCAACATTTCTTGGACGTGCTTATTTATGAACTCTCGTCCCTTCCAACTCGTTCGGGTTGGGTTCATTTTGATTGGTGCAGCGTCGCCAACTTCTATGACGTGGGTCACTCCTTTGACGTCGCCGTAAGGCTTTTTGGACGTCGGGAATATGGCCCTGAGTTCCCATAAGTCCTGACGGAGTAGAGCAATCTGCTCTTCGGTCAGGTGGTCGCCAAAATGTGCGTTGGCGATGTGGGCGCGGATTTCCCGCTCCACTTCTGGATCTTCCTCTCCGGTTTGGAGGGAATTGATCTTGGCGTAGTCTTCATCCGAGATTTCCTCGTATGGCTCCACCTGGCCCATGTTGACTCCTTTCCGGAGTATATGGGGCTCTTTGGAGTAGTTTGACACCAGTATGGTGAAACTAGTGCCATTATGCTGGACTGGTCCGTCGAGCATGGCCAGACTCCGTTTGGTGTCTTGGCTTCCGAGGTACATAAGTTTCTGTCTCGGGTCGACGGGAAAGTCGATGCTAACTTGGACCGGGGTTATGGACTCCGGTGAGAGTTCCACTTTTACAGTTGCCCGGACCATAGCATGGTCATTAATGGTGCGGTACCGATTTGGGTTGTTCCCTGCCACTTTTGGCCATGGTAAGGCGTCGGCATTGGGAATGGACCAATCTACTCCATCCTCCTTGATGTCTGGCTCGTATATGTCACTGTAGTACATATGGCCAATCTTTGCACCTTTACGGAGGACTTGGT